ATCCGCTCCCCAGGATGGACGAGTCCCTCGATGCATTGTCTGGTGCGCGATACTTTTCGACTCTTGATTTGTTATCCGGATTCTGGCAGTTGCCACTCGACGAAGAGTCTAAACCTAAGACAGCATTTCGGACTCCAGGGGGCCTGTTTCAGTTTAACCGGTTACCCATGGGACTTCACTCCTCTCCTGCGACGTTTCAGCGCCTTATGGAGTTGGTTTTGTCGAGCTTGCAATGGGATACGTGCCTGATTTACCTTGACGATGTCATTGTTTTCAGTAAAACGTTTGAGGAACACCTCCAGCGATTGAGAGGGGTGTTCTTGCGAATGCGATCGGCTAAATTAAAGTTTAAACCGGCCAAATGCCACCTTTTTCGTAAATCCGTTAGATACTTGGGTCACATTGTCGACTCTTCGGGGATTTCTACCGATCCCGCGAAGACGGACTGTGTCAGTTCATGGCTGACGCCCACGTCAGTTTCGGACGTGCGCAGTTTCATCGGTTTTGCTTCTTATTATCGCCGATTCGTTGAGCACTTCGCCACCATTGCAAAACCCTTGCACGCTCTAACGGCAAAAGGAGTGAAGTTCCGATGGGGACCGGAGGAGGAGGCTGCATTCTGCTCCCTCCGGGACGCCTTGGTAGGTGCCCCACCCTTGCGCTATCCTGACTTTGCGAGTCCCTTCTTGCTAGACACGGATGCTAGCAACACGGGCATTGGGGGGGTGCTGTCCCAAGTCGTTGGGGGGGTCGAACGGGTGGTCGCCTATGGTAGCAGGGTGTTGTCGCCGGCAGAGCAGCGCTACTGCGTCACCCGTCGCGAGCTGCTTGCCATTGTTTTTTTCGTACAACAATTCAGACCATATCTCTATGGTCGTCACTTTACGGTCCGGACGGACCACACGGCGCTCCAGTATTCATTGCGGGTCGCCCAGCCCTCGGGCCAATTGTCACGGTGGTTGGAAGTCCTCCAGGACTATCAGTTCACGACTACATACCGTAAGGGGTTGCGACACACAAATGCCGATGCTCTGTCGCGATTGTTGCCTTGTCACAAATGTGCGTGCTTATCGGGATCGGCGCGCTGTAAACCGCCAGTTACGGAAGGTATGGGGGCGTTGGTTGCGACCGCGGGCACACCAATTGGGGATGTTCCCGCTACCCCAGGGGGTCAGGACTCGCTGCTCTCACTGTCGCTGATTGAGTGGGGCCGTCTCCAAATGGCGGACAGCTCCCTGCTAGCATTGCGCCGCAAGACGGGGGGTTCCGAAGGTGACCATGAACGAACTGGCTCCTACGTACTTAAGCAAGTCCTGTTAATGAGATGGGACAGTTTGTCCCGGCGGCACGCGATTGTGGTGCCTTCTGCTGTGAGGGGGAAAGTTGTCTTGGCTGCACACGAACGCCTCTTGCATTTGGGAGTAAACAAAACGCTTGCCCTGCTTCAGCGTGACTATTATTGGCCGGGGATGGGGAGTGACGTGGTGAATATTCTGAAGGGTTGTGTTGAGTGCGCCAGACGGAAACCACCGCCCGTGGCAGCTAATCCACCGCTGCAATCTATTCAGGTCTCGCGCACTAACGAGCTCGTTGCGCTCGATATTCTGGGGCCTTTTCCAGTCACGCCTAGGGGTAATAAGTACCTGTTGGTGGGGGTCGAATATTTTACCTGGTGGCCTATGGCGTGGCCACTCGCCAACCAGTCGGCGGCGGCTGTGACGGACGCCTTTGTCCAGGGCTACGTCCTGGACAAGGGGGCTCCCGAACGCTTGCTGACCGACCAAGGGAAAAATTTTTCTAGTAAATTGCTGCAAGAGGTGTGCGACCTGTTGGGTACTATGAAGGTGCGTACCTCCCTGTACCACCCGCAGACGGACGGGATGGTGGAGAGACTCCACAGGACATTGACTTCTATGCTGTGCCAGCAGGTGTGTGAGGCACATGTTGATTGGGACCTGCAGGTCCCTGGGGTCCTCGCCGCGTATAGAATGGCCCCCCATGCAGCTACGGGATTTTCCCCGTTCTATCTGATGTACGGTCGGGAAGCCGACCCGCCCATGGAAACGCAGCTGCGCCTGCCCGCACCACGAACTAATTCGAAATTGGCAGAGCATATTAAATTTAATATTCATAAGCTGACAGAGGCAAGGGAGGCCGCACGGCTTAATTCGCGGGCTCGCCAAATTGCAAACGAGCGGTTGCGTGCACGGAAGGTGTCCGTGCACAACTGGGAACCAGGTGACAGGGCCTGGCTGCATTGCCCTCAGGCACCTTTGGCTACGTCGCCTAAATTGTTGAAGCCATGGCGGGGACCCGTGGAGGTCGTGCGGGTTGCACGCCTCCAGTGCGTTCAGATAAAATGGGGAAAGCGCCGTTGGTACGTCCACCCCTCCCGACTGAAACCGTTCTCGCCTCCATATGGCCTCCCCTTGTGTCGTGAGGGCCGAGCATGTGACGTGACCAACGACCCTAAGGGAAAAATGTCTTTGCCTGATCCTCACATGTCTCTGCCTGATCCGCTCCCAGGTGTCTCGGAACTGACAGCTGCCGACCACCGGCGGCCGGATCTTCGCGGCAGGGCCGGTCCTTCCAGGCCCGATCCGCGCCGTCTAGAGCTGCCGGAGCCACCGGACGGTCGCCAGCGTCCCGTCCCATACGACGGACCGGCCAGACGAACTCGCGCTAGGTCGCGCTACTTTTTATGACCTACCACGTGAGGAGTCGAGGCAGCCGGAGCGCCTCGTCACTGCGTTTAGTCATAGAGACACTTGGCGCGTTCGTTTTCTGGAGTTCGCTTTTATTGTGTTGTTCGTCGGGCTGTACATTGCTTCTTATTTAAGTGTTGCTGTTGTGTTGTTGTTGTTGTTGCGTTACGGGGCACACTGGGGGGTGGGGTTTTTTTTTATTATTGCGTTGACGTTGGGTTGTGTTGTTGGTTAGCAGCCGGGCCGGCTGCAAGCTATGTGGGAGGGGGTGATGTAGTGGTGATACGCGCTGGGGTAGGGATCGTGTGCCAGCGCGTAGTGATTGGCTGTGTATGTGGTGACGCGCGCTGACAGTGGAGGATCAGGGGTCAGCGCGGGGTCGTGGGTTACGTGGTGCTGATTGGCTGTGTGCCGGTGACGCGCTGAGAGGGAGTGATCGGGTGGCAGCGCGGTGTGATTGGTTGAGTAGTGTTAACACGCGCTGGGGAAAACGGATCGTAGAGATAGCGCGTCGTCATTGGTTAACTAAGGAGCGATGCTCACGTCGACGTCCGCATCAGCTCCGTCTCCCGTGAGCAGGGGCTATAAAAGGGGATGCACACAGGCGTAAAGGCAGTATGTAACCAGCGAAGAATGAAGACGGGGATCGAAGAGATAGGGCCCTGCGGTACCTAGTCCCGCTGTCCTAACGGGACCGGGACTCTGTGTAACCCAGAGGCGAATGCATTGTGTGTAGCCATAGGCATAGGGTCTACACGAGTTGAATGCATGGTGTGTAGCCAGAGGCATAGGGTCTACACGAGTCAAGTGCATTGTGTGTAGCCAGAGGCATAGAGTCTACACGAGTTATGTGGAGTGTATAGTCAAAAGAATAGAGACCACACGTTGTATTGTGACACGACAAGATTTAATAAAAGTGTGTTACCCGTCAAGAAGTTCCTGCCGTCATTTCCAATACTTCATATGGACGGGAATATGATCCTCCCATCGACGTACAGTTGCAGGCCACGCCGGCCGTGAAAGTGTCAAAAATATCAGATTCCATTAGTTTCACTATTGCAAAGCTCTCTGAAGCGCGGGAATCTTCCAGGGTCAACTCCCGAACCAGACAGTTGGCTAACGAGCGGCTGAAGGAGGCTCGTGTTTCCCTGTGCGATTGGTCGCCAAGTGACAGGGCCTGGTTGCATTGTCCACAGGTGCCTGTGGGCACATCCCCTAAATTGCTGCAACCCTGGAGGGGGCTGGTTGATGTTGTTCGGCTTGGTAAGCGGAGTTGGTTTGTTCACCCCTCTCGTCTGAAGCCATTTATTCTGCCAGTGACCAAGTGTCGGGTGTACCCGAGGAGCTGAGGCATGCGTCTGCTGACGTCGGTCCTCAGGAGAGTGTTTCTGTCCCATCCCCAGGCGCTGCGCAATTGATGCCTCGCACGCGGCCGCTCGTGTCGGCCTCGCGTGCTCCGGACGTGGAAGGTTGGACGGTCCGGCCTACTGCTTTTCGTGTGGAGCCGGCTTCGTCCGATCGATTGCTCATTTCCCCCGGGTCGTCCAGGGCGGACAAGCCTAACCCCCCTGGAGGCCCGGCATCGCGGACTAACTCAAAGACTCGGGTTGCATAATCCCCACACGTTGCACATTCCCACGCCGTCTTTGGTTGGTGCGCTCACGTGAGTTATGGCGAGTAATTGGCTTATCCTGCTTGCCATTGGGCTCACGAGCGTTGTTACACGTTGGTACAGTACTTGGCTTCACCGGGTGTCAATGTCATAACCACATTCTTAAACATTCAAATTACTTTAAAATAGTTATTGGACAATGTATGAAATATTTTGTAAAAATCTATCTCGTGAATATCAATATCATTTCCATAAAGGTCATATGATGGTCATAAAATGTTACTTAGTTGATACTAAACAATAATTTGTGGAGCTTTTCCCTTGAAGGCCTCAGTGAGACAGGAGTTATTGCAAATTCCTCTTACCAGCGTGTATCCTAAGGTCTTCACGTGGATAAGGGGAGCTATTTTGTAGGCAAATGCCCCAAATATCAAGAACGATCAGAAGAGTCCTCCTCCATTACCCTGCCACGCTCGTGTAACCAACCGTAGCCTCTTATGTAAGACCAACATGTAACCACTTTGCATCTTGAAATTTTGTTTTATGAAAACCCGATATGACGACACGATGCAGTAACAGCAGTAGGTGGCATTCAAGTAGCGCTCGGTGCTCTACTCATCAGCCGCGCAGACTTACGAGGAAGTGTGTGGTGCTGTGAGCCATCGAATACTTGCGTGACTCACTGCTCTGGCCTGAGGAGAAAGAAGCCGTCCTGGCCCGTGTCAACGCCGAATGTTTCAGCCGCGCCACCAGCCCTGAAGGGATTGCATGGTATTGCGGTGAGCACAACAAGGTCGACCGCCAATGCTGCAGAGCTGCGGCGTAACTGGCGTGGGGCAGGCAGGGGGTGCCTTGCCCCACCCCCTCTCCCTGGTGGCCAAAGCCACGACTGCGGAGTATCATGTTACCGGAACCAGATTACAAAACACAAGTCCTGGTAATCCCTATGATTACTCCAGTGTACGTTTGTAGTCGGGAGAGTCGTTATGCGCCGTCAGCTGCAGGTAGAGTCACGTGGAGCTTGACTGCTCGAGACTCCACGTGACCTTGTCTCTGAGTCGCTCTCTCTCCACGTCTATCCCGATCATCATTATACGCTGTATAATATGTCTCTATCTCTCACTCGCCCTTTCTTGCTCTATATTTGTTTATACGTGTCCCTGTTGCTATCACTTTTTGTTAGCCTTTCTCTCCCAGCTCTCTTTCTGTCCGTGTCTTTGTCCATGCCTTTCTTTGTGCCTCTCAAACCATGAATCGGGCCACCGGTGCTTAAACATTAACTCATGTTAGTTTATACCATGATACGTTTCCGCAATGGTCACTTCTAACCAACACAAAAATTGGGTTCTAAATGTTATGTCATCATTTCAAAGTTAACGCAGTTCCTCTCTTGCAGGAGAAACTGTTACTTGGTTTTTTTAAATTGCAAATTCGAACTTGGGTTTGAAAAAAGATTCTGCAAGACCAACGTCTCGCCCAAGGTCAGTGCCCTCTCGCCACACGGGAAGCGAAGCACTCGTGCGGTGACTTTCCTCTCACGACACAGTTGGGTGTCCGTGCCCTGTCGATGTCACTTTGCTTCGTGGTTGTACCCGCGCCTATCTTTTGTGTTGCCGCTTTTGTCAATTCTGGTGACGGTAGGTAGTCACTTGCAAAACGCGACTATCTTGATCTCTCGCGTTTTTCACCCGGGTTTTGATTTTAAAAGAAGAAGAAGCTGGGCGAACTTTAAACCGTGTTGGTACCTGCCGAGTTGTGCTGGTGATAGTGGATGAGACTCGGGATGTTTTCAAAGAGGTGGTTTTCAGCAACGTAGTACATCCTCTGTGGTTCACACACTTCCTTGATCTGATAGTGCTTCACAACGCCAGTGTCACTGCAGTGGAAAGCAAAGCGACGCATTGACATATTTTACTTATTTAAGTATTTCACCGGAATAATTATTTGAGATGGAGCATCGCGTTTGCAAGGGTGTCCCGGGTATCGATTGACATATAGCAAATACGCAATGACACTTAAACTGATATTTTTAATCCGTAATTTATACTGTATGCATTTATAAAAGAAACTTTGCACTCAAACACGTAATAAATACATAAATAACACTATGTAACACAATTTTAGTTCCTGGGTAATAAGTGTTATTTTGAAATTGCGTATGCCTAAAAAGTATAGAAAATGGCTATTATTCCGCACAAACTTGATTTTGTGCACCAGGACAGTGATATTTTGAAATGTACATATTTTCAATGAGAAAACAAGCAAATTTGTGTCTTACGTTCACAAAGTCAGAAAAAAACAATATATGAATCAAAATTAACATGTATTTATACTAAAGTAATACAAAAATGACTACAAAAGATTTCCAAGTGAGTCGTTTTTCGAGAATTACGATTATACTGTAAATCACTTTCACGAATCAGCCCCCAAATTTAGTCTCCCATCATGTTCTCGTGATACTGTCCTTGGTAGCGGCGTTCAAAGTCCGGTATATCCTGGTGGAAGCGCTGGCCTTGCTCCTCCGAGTACGCTCCCATGTTCTCCTTGATTTTATCAAGATGAGCATCAAGGATATGGACTTTGAGGGGCATCCTACAGCCCATTGTGCCATAGTTCTTCACCAGTCTCAACCAGCTCCACATAGTTGTCGACCTTGTGATTGCCCAGGAAGTCACGAACCACTGCGACAAAGCTGTTCCAAGCCACTTTCTCCTTACTAGTGAGCTTCTTGGGGAATTCATTGCACTCCAGGATCTTCTTTATCTGTGGTCCGACGAAGACACCGGCTTTAACCTTTGCCTCAGACAGCTAGGAAAGAAGTCCTGAAGGTACTTGAAGGCTGCCGACTCCTTATCTACAGCTCTGACAAATTGTTTCATAAGGCCCAATTTGATGTGCATTGGTGGCATCTGCACCTTCCGGGGGTCCACCAGTGGCTCCTACTTGACGTTGTTCCTCCCCACAGAGAACTCGGTCCGCTGTGGCCAGTCCCGCCTGTGGTAGTGCGCCTTGGTGTCCCTGCTGTCCAAAAGGCAAAGATAGCAGGAATACTTGGTAAAACCACCTTGGAGACCCATCAGGAATGCCACCATTTTCAAGTCTCCGATGACCTCCCAGCCGTACTCATCATACTTCAAGGCGTCCATTAAGGTCTTGATGCTGCTTGTATCCTCTTTGAGGTGCACCGAGTGAGCCAGGGAAAGAGACAGGTACTTGTTACCATTATGGAGCAGCATGGCTTTGAGGCTCCTGGATGAGCTTTCAATTAAGAGGCGCCACTCATTCTGGTTACAGGCGATTCCAATTGCCTCGAACAGACTGGTCACATTGTGGCAGAAGCAGAGCCCATCTTGACGGGTTAAGAAGCTGCAAACATGTTGGTGACGCTTCCTCTGATCTGCGACTTGCACACTTTCATCCAACAAGTTCCACTGCTTGAGCCTCGATGTCAAAAGCTCGGCATTGGACTTGGTGTGACCAAGATCGTTGAGGTCTTTTTGGTTGGGATTGTATGGGTTTCTCTCCTCAGCTTCACCTCTCAAATTGTCATCTGGATCTACGTCTTCCTCGCTTTCTGACTTGCTGCTCTCTTATAAAGATGGCTGCTCTCTCTCCGGAGGAGTGGGTACAGGGAGCTCATGGCAGTGTGGCACCGGGGCAATGGATGAAGGTCCGGATACGTGATAGCAGGTGCATTCTTTCCAGTCTGACGTTTGGAAGGGTCCACCATGCAGAAGTAGCAGTTGCTTGAGTGGTCAGTGGGTTCCCGTCAAATTCTAGGGATATGCAAACTTTATGGCTCTCTTTTTCCCTCTGTACCATCCTACAAAAATACATTTATTTCACCTATGACTAATGTGTAAGAGATTTTAAAATATTTTTTTTTTAATTTTACTGATTTTAACAAATTTTATAACATAAAATTCCGAGCAACAATTGTACATCTTACCTTCCAGAGTTTTTTTGCATTGCTTGCAAGTGAAATTAGGTGCACAGGGTCTGTCTTGATCCCCGACAGGCATGCTGAAATATGCCTTGTAGGCCTCACACATCTTAGCAGATGCTTCCACAGAGTATTTTTTAGCTCTTGTCTTGATACATTGGCCGCAGACATAGCAAAATGCGTCTGCCGGATGCTTGCAGCCTCTTGATGCCATCTCAGAAAAATGCAGATATGTATCCACTTAGGCAGCTGGAACTAAACTTAACTGGTGGGCTTAAGGCCCATGTATGTATACTACTATTATTACTGGAAAGTACTAGAATATTCTAGAAGTTACTCTAAGTTTACTCAGCACTGGATCTATCTGAAATGTTCTGGAAAATAGGTACATTTCTAAATATCATTGTCCTGGTCACAAAAGAAAAGTTTGTGGGAATAATAGCCATTTTCTGTACTTTTGAGGCATAAGCAATAAGGAAATAACACTTACTACCCAGGAACAAAAAAATGTTGATACACAGTGTAATTCAATGTTATGGAACAATTCCGAGGGGATATCACCGAGGAGATGGAGCGATTAAATCACCTCGTGTACACCAGGTGCTATAGGTGGGCTCTTGCATTGCATGATGATGAGATGGCGACTGCTTGGGGAGGCCTTCGTCCAGCAGTAGATTGATAATGGCTGATGATGATTTATACACTTGTGAAGAATTATGGCCTGGTTTATAATGCGCATCTTTCAGAAGACATGTGTTGATCAAATACATGAACTCTGCAACCAAACTGGCCCGATTTTTAAACCTATGACATGGACATGCATTGTGATTGTTATGCAGTGCCTAGCTTGTCGGTGAAGTATTCATTAAAAAGCGATACGTAACCCTGTCACGTATAAGTAACATCGTAATACAGTCCCATCAGATATGCAGAATATTGGATCAATTGGAAGTGCTTTTATATCAACCAAATATAGGCACAATTGGTAATAATTGTTAATATAAAGTGATAATAAAACATATTAGAGAAGTTACAATTGTGTCTAATCGCAATCTGTGGTGGTATTAATATATACCAGATATGTGGCAATAATGTATGTTTTATATACAGTGAGAGAAAAAAATATTTGATCCCCTGCTGATTTTGTACGTTTTCCCACTGACAAAGAAATGATCAGTCTATAATTTTAATGGTAGGTTTATTTGAACAGTGAGAGACAGAATAACAACACAAAAATCCAGAAAACGCACGTCAAAAATGTTATAAATTGATTTGCATTTTAATGAGGGAAATAGGTATTTGACCCCCTCTCAATCAGAAAGATTTCTGGCTCCCAGGTGTCTTTTATACAGGTGTAATGCGGGCGTGAACGACCTCCCGGAGGTGACGTCATGAGGGGAGGAGTTAGGTCACGTGGGGGAGAGGGGTCAGGTCTATAGGGAGAGAAACCGGAAGAGGAGGAGGAGTGACGGGAGACTAGGAACGAGGTAGGCCACGTAGGGCGAGAGCGGGAGAGTGGCGAGATCGCCACGTATGCAGGGAACGAGGTTCGGCACCGTCGGCCAACGGTGACCGACCCGGAGCAGCGAGGAGGCTGCAGGTGGCAGCGGGAGTCTGCACACGGAGTTGGCAGCGGGAGTCTGCACACGGAGTTGGCAGCGGGGGTCTGCACACGGAGTTGGCAGCGGGGATCTGCATAAGGAGTTGGCAGCGGGAGTCTGCACACGGAGTTAGCAGCGAGTCTGCAAGGAGAGGAAGGAGGCTACAATAGTGATAGCAGCCGGGGGCTGCAAGCAGAGTATCTCTAAGAGAGTGCCGTGAGGGTAAAGACAAGAACCCAAATAAAGGACACGGAGTCAGAGAGAAGCGTCCGAGTCTTTTATTACACTGGAGTCAGAAGTGAAACGGCATGGCGAAACAACTCAGAAAAAAGAATATTCCGTCTCCGGCATCGGCTTCATCTTCCGACGACGAAGATCTTCCTCCTGAAGTCGGCCTGACTCTGGCAGAAGAAGAGATCCGTGCTGGGACGAGTGCGGGTCCGGGGGTCCAAGAGGTCGTCGTGTCGGCGGACCCGTCTGCTCCAAAGGACGCGGATTCAAGATGGAGCCAGATGGCGGAGCAACTTGTAACTCTCAAGAATGTCATTACTCAGTTGTGTGAGCTTGTCACGCCGAGGGCGGCGTCGGATGGAGATGTTGGTGGTCCGCAGGAGTCCGGGTTGTCTTCGATGTCGCCGCCATCGGCCACGCGGCACGACGACGCCATCTTGGGCGTGGCGCACGACGAAAAGCGGGAAGCCGCCATTTTGGGACCTCCACGATTGCCAGCCGCCATCTTGTCGACACCGCGTTGCCACGCCATGTTAAATTTGCCACCGGAGGAGCCAGCGGCCGGAGGGAGCAAGCCAAGGAGTCGCAGTCGTCACTTAACAACTGTCAAGGAATTCTCCATCGGGGGCGATTGGAGTGCGTTCGCCTGTAGATTTCTGGCAGCGGTACGCTCAGCGAGGTGGACGGACGCCGAGGCACTGGAGGTTCTTCCGACCCTTCTCGATGATGAGTCCGTTCGTTTTTTTCGCTCTATAAAAGCCGCGAAGAAGAAGACTCTGCGAGGGGTGTTCGACGAAATGGCGGACGCGTACGAGCCGCCGGATGATGCCCATCGCCGGTTTGTGCAACGACAACGCGCACCCGAGGAGTCACCGGTTGCGTATAGGGGCGCGGTGTTGGAGCTAGCTATGGCCGCTTACCCGGAGACGGAGCCTGACCTGCTGGAACCTCTCATCCTGGGGAAGATGTTGGAGTTGTCCCGGGATCTCGGCATTCCTATGCCGGTGTGTGGTCATGAAAAGCTCACGTCCCGGGCTGCGGCGAAGTGTCTGGACGCCCAGTTTAACCTTCGCCGCTGGAAACAAGTTACGGCGTGGACAG